TCTGTCTGGCGAGCGCACGTGCCCTATAGCAAAAACCTCTCCAAAAATTAAATAAATAAATAAATAAATAAATAAAAAGTAGAAAAATAAATTAACAAGTATGAAATGAAGTTGGTAAGATGAGGCCAAAGCTGCACCCAGAGGTATATTCATAGCATTGAAGTGCATTACTGTTATCATTAAATAGGAAAATATTGCAATATACAAATGTAGAGTTAGAAAATAAAACATAATACAGTTGACCCTCTTTCTGTGTCCCTGGGTTCTCTATCTGTTCCTTTAACCTGCCATTCAACCTTTAATATTGAAAATTTAATATTGAAAATATTTAGAAACAACAACAACAACAACATAGGGCTAGCCGATGGTGTAGTAGTTAATGTGGTGCCATCCACATGGCTGACTGCATGGTTCAAGTCCTGGATCCTGTGATTTGAAAATCATACCAGGTGTGTGTGGCCCAAATCCTGAGCAAAGTATGGAGAAGGGATTGTGGTGTGGCCATCCCTCCTGGGAGGGGGTGATTTCTCACTTTCCTTCTCTCTGTCTTTCTTTCTCTCAGGCAAGCACACGTGCCCTATAGCACAACTTCAAAAAAAAAAAAAAAAGGAAAGAAAAAAAAGAATCTTGGGGCCGGCAGATGGCATGGTGGTTAAAGGCGCTGGATTTCTTTTTTTTTTTTTTTTTTCTTTTCTTTTTTGAGAGTTTTTGGCTCTAGGGCGTGTGCGCTCACCAGAAAGACAGAGAGAGACAGAGAGACAGAAAGTGAGAAATCACCCCCCAGGGGGAATGGCCATGCCACTATCCATTCTCCTCCATTCTCCTCTCGGGATCTTGGGCACGCACGCACACGCGGCCGGCGTGAGTTTAAGCCTCCGGGTCTGGGACTCGAACCGCGGTCGGCTCCATGGGAGTTCAGAGACATAGCCATTACACTAACTGCTGGTCCCAAGGTACTAGATTTCCACATGGCTGACTGCAGTTTGAGTCCTAGACCTGGCATCTTGATTTCTTGGTTTCCCTTTCTCTCTCTCTCTCTCTGGTCAAATTGAAAATATAGTCATAATAACAAATAGAATTTAGGGGCCAGTAGGTGACTTGGTGGTTAAGGTGGCTGGACTCCCAAATGCTTGACCGCGGTTCGAGTCCCGGACCTGGCAGCTTGCTTTCTTTCTCTGTCTCTTTCTGGTCAACCTCAATTAAAAAAAAAAAAAAATGGAATTAAATATATATGTACATATGAATTAAATTATATAGTTTTTTAATTTTGATTTTTTAACAAGTCTTAAGTATGGGGACCCTGTAAGTTCTGCGGGTGAGGCCTCACATGCGTGCCGTTTCTCCATAGCGCATTTTGGAAGACAAGGAGGAAAACCCACTCCCCGCCGCTCTGGTCCAGCCCCACACTGGCAAACTCTGTTGGTTCCTGGACGAGGCGGCTGCCAAACTGTTGACTATGCCCTTCGAGAAGCATTCCACATTGTAGCCAGCCAGATGGACGCCGTAGCTGGGACCACTGCATCCCACAGCCGGGGACCTTCCAGGGCTGGGCCCTGCTGGCTGTCACACTCTGGGCTCATTTTAGAAGAACCACACGGTGCTGTTGGGAGCTGGCAGAGTCCGGCCACCCACCCTGCCTCAGGGGCTCAGCCCACAGTCGTGGCTCCAGGCAACTGGATATTAAAAGGAATGTTGTTGAAAATCTTCAGTGTCTTGTAGTCCTTGGTGGAAGTGGGCCTGGGGACCTGACCCATAGCCCTCATTCCAGGGGGGCCAGAGGTCGAGATCTGCTCCCTGAGGGCATGGGTGGCTTGGGGTCACTTTCTGAGCTGGTTGTGCAGAGGAAGCCAGATCTACCATGGCCAATGAGGGTTCAGTTCCTGGTCCCGGTGACTCGAAAGACATACTGGACAGAACCAGCAGTTGGCGTAATGGCTACGTCGCTGGACTCCCATGTAGTCGAGTGCAGTTCGAGTCCTGGACCTGGTGACTTAAACTCATGCGGCGGGACGCGTGTGCATGCATGCCCAAGATCCCGAGAGGAGAATGGAGGAGAAGGGATTGCGGTGTGGCCATCCCCCCAGGGGGTGATCTCTCGCTTTCTGTCTCTCTGTCTGTCTCTGTCTTTCTGGTGAGTACACGCGCCCTATAGCAAAAATCTCTCCCCCCAAAAATAATTCCCCAACACCAACTGTACACCGGCCTGTACCCACCACTGTAGCCCCCAATGCTGCAGGCCTTGTCAGAGCCTTGAGGGCACCAAGGCACCTCTGGTCTCCTGCGTACTGACCCTGATGCGTGTTTTAAGTGTCTTTGTCCCTTTCTCAGCCTCCGGGGACAGCGGTGTGGGACCCTGGGGGTGGCACCGAGCCGTCAGCCACATAGGAGCTTGGCAGCGTGTGAGGACCTGGGGGAGCCCTGAAGAGGCACGTGGCAGGTGGCTGGGCGGGAGGTGGGAATTGAAACCTCTGCGTGGGGGCGGCTGTTACACGAGAGAGTGAAAGTCAGACCACAGAAAGGGAAGTTTCCGTCACCGCCGGGCCTCGGGGGGTGGCACTGAGGAAGTGGGGCAGAGTCAGAGCCGGAAACGGGTGAAGAAATGGGAGAGTGTGGGAGGGGAAGTAGCCCCGCTGGGGACGTGGCAGGAGCAGGTGGCCGTGACCCCCAGAGCAGCAGGAGGCCGAGCAGTGACATGACAGCGAGGACCCAAGGGTCCCATGGAGGGCTCTGGGCCTGGGCTGTGTCACTGTCTCCAGTGTCCTTCTCCAATGAGGGGTAACGCTCTCTGCCCCAAACCAGCCTGTAATTCCTTTTTCTAAGAATTATTATATTTAATTTTATTTATTTATTTTAATTTGACCAGAGAGAGAGAGAGAGAGAGTTGGAAAACGAGAAAGCAAGCCTTCAGGTAGGTCCGGGACTCGAACCGTCGTCGGCCATATGGGAGTCCAGTGCCTTAACCACCATGCCACAAGCCGCCTCTGTAATTACTTTTTTAAAAAATTTATCCATGGGACCAGCAGTTGGCATAATGGCTATGTCACTGGACTGCCATGTAGTTGACCGCGGTTTGAGTCCTGGACCTGGTGGCTTAAAACACGCCAGGTGCATGTGTGTGCGTGTCCAAGATCCCGAGTGGAGAATGGAGGAGAAGGGATTGCGGCGTGGCCATCCCTTCCTCCCCAGGGGGTGATTTATTGCTTTCTCTCTGTCTCTGTTCTGTGTCTCTCTGGGGAGCACACGTGCCCTATAGCAAAAAGTACTCTCTTACACACACACACACACACAAAACACACAAAAAGGAATGAAGGACGGGTCTTCAGTCCCCCCAAGTCTCCCCCCATTGCAGGCCCTCCCCTATCCTCTGAGACCCCATCTGAGACCCCAACACCTGCTCTCCGGCCCCAACAACTCTGACCCAGGGACAGTCTGGGGACGCCTAGGGACTGGATCAGGCTGCACCCTCTCCAGACCCAGCGTCACCCAGCACAGCGTGGGCACCATAGGGGACACCGGGTCCCTGCTCACCCCCCCCCTTCCTGGTCCCCACACACCACGACAGCTCCAGGCATCCCTGCAAACCTCCTGCATGACCAGCTAGGGCTGCCATCTCCCACACCCCCAACGCTCAGGGCCAGCCCCTGCAGCAAACACCAGGTCAGGCGGCGCCGGCCCCAAGGGGATGGG